TCAGCCCTCCTCGCCTGAGATTCCTTCCGTCGCCGCCGCCTCCTGCCCGCCCGGCGGCTCGAATCGCGCCCACCGCTCTCGTGATCTAGCCTCGTTGAGGGCGCGGCCGTGCCGGGCGCCGGCGCCGGCGGCCATGTTCTGGAAGGACAGCAGCGCCCGGAGCAGCAGCAGCAGCGGCCGGGAGCAGAGCGGCGTCGGGCCCTTCGGCCAGGTGCGCGTCCTCGTCGTCGGCGATTCAGGTCCGTCCTCTCCTCCCCGTGCCTCCCGTCCCGTCTGTGACTCCCTGGAACCTCTGGTGGTCGGCGAATGGCGTGAGATCGGGAGAACGTAGAATAGGCATGTGTTATTGATGATCGTGAATTGCCTATTGAGAGCCTGTTCGTCAGTGTCCGGTTCCGCCTTCGTCCTCGGATCACACATGGTGAACAAATCGAGTACAGAAAGGAGTGTTGTGAGTTGGGTCGGGACAATGGTCCATCCTTCTGAACTTTTCCTGCTTGGATGTGGGTGATTGGGAGGCCTAATGGAGTGGGAGACACTCGTCCCTTTGCCCTTGTACCACTACATTTGTTTACTTTTTGTATGTACAAATCATTCAGTAAGCACGCCAATCAATTTTAGAAAATCCTTTCCTTGGGCGCAAAAAAAATCTGACCGAAAGATCACCAAGTGCAACCTTCGTTTCACATATGCTTCAATGCACTTAATATTTGGGTCTTGGAGGGGAGATAACTGCAATAGGGAGTTTTGCTGTGGCAACTACGGACTATAGCCGTATTCAGTGGTATAGAAGGATTTTCTCTCTTTTTTCTGAAACAAGTATTGTGGTGTCTGCAATTTGTGATGTTGTCCTGCTATGCGTCACGCCATGATCTGGACTACAACATGAAGCAATGCCAAGTAAAATCTGAACTAGGGCCATGCGTGGAACCTGGTTATTTATTTGTTATAAGTTCCTTATTGCATTCGCCGCCCTTAGAAACACAGAAAAAATATATTCAATGCAACCTTCTACTGTATTTTCTGAACTGTGCTCAACTGCCCATACAAGTTACTCTGTTACACCAACAGTGGCTGAACCTTTTGTATGCGCCTGAGAATCGGTAGTCAAAAAACCACACCATAATTGCATGCTGTTGTACTCTTCTGAATATGGTGGTTCTTCAGTTGTATTAAATTTTAATATTGCTCTTATTTCTCTCAGGTGTTGGTAAATCTTCACTGGTGCATCTCATCTTAGAAGGATCTGCTATTGCTCGACCAGCTCAGACAGTAGGATGTGCGGTGGGCATTAAAGTAGGTGCTCTTGCTCTGTGCTTTCCCAGCTTGTACCATTTGCACTTTTTTAAATCCACTTACATTGTCACTGTTATTATTTCAGCATGTTACTTGTGGAAGTGCAGGGGGGTCTTCTAATAACATCAGTAATGATGCTGAAAGGAATTTCTTTGTTGAGCTTTGGGATGTCTCAGGGCATGACCGCTACAAAGCTTGTCGTTCGATTTTCTATACACAAATCAATGGTAAATGACGTTTTTCTCTTAATTACCAGCGTGTTACTGCTCTATACATCTTGGTACCCAGCACGGCCTATCTTTAGTAGTTTCGTACTGTATGAGCAAGCTGATCTATTTTGTTATTTGACCCAAAAACCCTTCAAGGGAAGGATTTGTTTTTATATTTGCAGCTGCTAATGCCTAAGTCCTGAGATTGTAACAGCTCTTTTGTATTTGTTGTTCTTGCTCCACTTAGTTCAGCAGCTTCAGCTGATGAAACCTCTTAGAAACACTCGTTCTTCTTTAGATCCATAGAGAAATACTTATTACAACAGTTTTTTTTCTTTCAAATACAACATTCACTGTTCCCAACATTGTCCGTCAGGTGTCATTTTTGTTTATGACCTCTCCCAGAGGAAGACCAAGACAAATTTGAATAAATGGGCAGTTGAAGTTGCGGAAACAGGCACCTTTTCAGCCATACTTGGATCTGGTGGACCAGGAGGACTTCCAGTGCCTTACCTTGTAATTGCTAACAAAGTGGATATTGTTCCAAGCGATGGCTCTAGAGTCAGAAGTGGAAGTATTGTTGATCTTGCTCGTCAATGGATTGAAAAGCGGGGTCTTCTTCCTCGCAGTGAAGAACTTCCGCTCACAGAGAGCTTTCCTGGGAACTCTGGTCTCATCTCGGTTAGGTTTCTTGTTGAATACCTTCTGCTCATCTCTTGCTCTACATTCAATTTACGTTCTTTTATGGAACAGCCATCTTTTTTCGTTCTTTGTCATTTCAGTTATTTTTTGCATAACATGCTAACCTTTGATTGCAGGCTGCCAAAGAAGCAAGATATGACAAAGAAGCTGTGACCAAGTTTTTCCGCATGGTTTGTTTCAACTATTTCATTGATTTGCTTTTTCATACTTCCTTTTTTTTTCATCTGCTAATGCTGTTGGGATGCATCTTTCAGTTGATCAGGAGAAGATATTTCTCGAACGAACCTGCTGTGCCAAGTCCCTGGTCTCTTATTCCAAGGGAAGATAGCATCCTTCCTGTAGTGACTCGCAAAGATGATGCCGATAGCTTTCAAAGGAAAAGGTGAGCATGCCTAACATGAAAAAAATTCAACTCCCCCACTCAAAGAAATCACAACGCATACAAATAAATGGAAAGCAAAGTATAAAGGAGAACTTTTTTGTCACCCCAAGCATAACTGTGAGCCCATATTAAACATGTTGTATAGTTGCACTTATGCACACATTTTTGCAGCTATAGCGGCGAGGACTTCATGTTCAATGGGGTACCACCACTGCCGGCACAAAGGAACCTCCCACCACCACCAACTCTCGACCCACAGCTGCCGGTGTTTTCTTCAGATAACTACAGATATCACAGATTCTCCTCGCCATCGCTTACTGAGATGAGCAGCAATAGAACAAGCCGTGAAAATTTTAATGTATAATGCAGCGGATGTCAAAAGGCTTAAAGGGCATCACCTGCTACCTGGGAAGCATATGGCATCTGCTGCCTTGGTGGTGTTGGATTCCAGCTGGTATCATGAACCATCCGATGCCTTCCTTTGCAGCATACGGAAGGTGCCCAGTTGGTCTTCTTTGTTGGCCTAGTCTCTAGCTGATTGCTAGTGGCGACTCCTGTATTCTTTTTCCTCCATACCTGTTCATTCAATATAGTGATTACTTGTCATTTCCATAATGCAAGTAACTGGAAAATGGCACCCCGGTTCGAGAAATACATAGCAAAAGAGCAGGGGACAATGGACTATACAGTGATATAGGATAAAAATATCTTTAGTGTTGCATTTTCTGTAACTTATAAATTAGGAATTGGAGTGGCCTGAAACTTTTTAGGGCCGATGCAAGATTTTAAAAGGTGGGAACAGGAAAAACATAGTAATAATATACTCCCTCCGTCTCAAAATAAGTGTCTTGAGCTTAGTGCAAATTTGTACTAGAGCTAGTACAAAGTTGAGACACTTATTTTGGGACGGAGGGAGTATCATTTATTTGAATGTTTCCTCACATGTGGTGGCGCGCGTATGCACCTTATAATACTCGATTTTTCTCGAGGAAAATATGACATTGTTTGTTGATTGCCTGATTGCATCTGCAATAGCACTTTGAGTTTAATTTAGCTAGCTAGTTTACATAAAAAATAAAGGCGTGTGCGTGTCTACCATCCTTCAATCCACATGATCAATATATCCATTATTTGTGTTTCACATTTTTTCCTTCATTTTCTGTGTGTGCTCCCAACGCGAATTCATAATGCCCCTAAACACAAGAATGTCTTAACTGAGAAGGCCCGTGCTCAGACTCTGGTAATTACTCCTTGGAGTACTCCATTCATTCCTTCCCCAAACACAAGGAATATTAGTTTTTTTCTAAGTCAATCTTTTAAAGTTTATTCAAGTTTATATGAAAAATAGACCAACGCCTATAATACCAAATAAATATAGTAGTATAACAGCATTTCATGATGCATCTACTGGAATTGAGTTGCTATTGTTTTTTAACCTATAAACTTTGTCAAAAGAAAATTATATCCACAAGGCAAATTCATAATGCCCCTAACACAGGTATGCATGCCTCTTCGATGAGAAGACCTTCTTCTTATATACTCCCTCTTTTTTGTGTGCATGTTTTTTTTTCTGCGCATGTTTGTATATACTCGCTCTGTTCCTAAATATAAGGTGTATTAGTTTTTCAAAATGTCAAACATTGTCTATGTTTGACCAAGTTTATAGCAAAATATATAACGATCTACCATACTAAATAAATAAAATAAAAATATATATTTTCATCGTGAATCTAGTGATAATGATTTGGTATTTTAGACATTGATATTTTTGTCTATAAACTTGGTCAAAGTTAGAGAAGTTTGACCTTTGAAAGAATAATACACCTTACATTTAGAAACGGATGCTTGTTCAAGAAAAGAAAAATGTCCTGGAGACATTGATCTTGTTAGTGGAACAAGGGGCATTTCTTTTATCACATGAAACAACTCAGATTGAGCTTACATGTGTGCATCTATATAGTTTCCACTACCAAATTTCAGTTCAAATGCTACTGTTTGTCTTCAGAATTAAAACATCGAGATGGGGTAAAGGGACTTGGAAGAAAAATGAAATCCTTTTAACCCCGCAAAAAAAAAGAGATAAAACTGTCCATTCATAACTGATGTCTAGCTAATAGTGTCCACCGGATACATACATGCACACAAAGATCACAAGAAAAACAATGTGTACACGCGCCAATATCTCGCCAAGCACGAGATTTAATTTAAGTAACACATAAACATCACCACATACATTATACTCTTTTTTTAAGTTACCACATACATTATACTTACTAGAGTAATTAATCTCTTGATACAAGGTAATTCAAAAAACACCCCATCAAGAACAAGAGCATACGCGCGCACGCAGGCACGTAACGTACAGTACGTAAACCCTAGATATATATCTAGTAGGACCACACAATTAAAGCTTAATCAACATCATCTTCTTCACCTGAATCGGTCGACGGCTGGACCCCATCTCGCACCGCGTCCATCGATCTGACGGCCACATCACGGTCACGCCACCGACCATCGCTCCAGCATCACACAACTCTTCTTCCTTTGTCTTCTAGTAGTGGTACGTATTTTCCCAGCCAGGAAATAATAGTATTGGAGGGAAATAATTAACAGTAGCAACGGCACGCCGGGATCACGTACGTGCGTACGCGGCGCGGCGGGGTGATTGTCACGATACTAGAGGCGGAGGAGGCGGCGGAGGCCGTCGGCGGCGGCCGCCTCAGCGTTGCAGGACGGGGCAGGCGGCACCACCTTGCCGGCCGTGGCGGAGTGGGGAGACGCTTTGACGACGAGGGAGAACCTGGGCAGCGGCAGGCTGCTGGGCGGCGGCGCCAGCGCGTGCAGCAGGTCCTGCACGCAGCTCCGGGCCAGCTCCTGCTCGAGGTCGTCCAGCGCCTCGGTCACCGCCGGCGCGGGCGGCAGTGGCGCCGCCCGCTCCAGCGGCTTCTTCTTCTTCTGCTCCCTTGCCGGTTCTGCGGTCGGCGGCTTGGCCGGCCTCCTCCTCCTGTCTCTCTGGCTCAGCTGGCGTGAGGCCGCAGGGGGCGCCGCTGCCGGCGCGACGGTCGTGGGCGGTGCCGGCCTGACGGCACGTGGCGGTGTCGGAGGTGGTGGGTAGGGGAAAGTGGCGTACTTGGTGGCGGTGGGCGGGAGCGGCAGGAGCGGTGGCTGGTTGGACGGCAGGAGAGGGAGAGACGGCGACGAGTATATCGGCGGCCTGGCGTACGCATACGGGAGAGCGGGGGCGGGGGCGGAGTTCCATGCGCCGCTTTTCTGGAAGTGATGGTACTGCGGGCACGTGCGGGAGGAGCCGTACGCGCCGTGCGGCCTCGCCGGCCTCCCGCCATAGACGCCCCTCTTCGGGTACTCGAAGCTTCCGGAAGAACGATCCAGCAGAACGTTCTCCATGTCAAACTAGATAGGAGTAGGAGGAGAAGAATTAAGAGAGCAACAAGAAATAAAGAAGGATGGGAATGAAGTGGAAGAACTTGTATTAGTTTTGCATGAAATCTGCAAGAAGAAGCTAGCTACTCGTAGATCCTTGGGAAGAAAAACAACAAGGATGCTAGCTAGGATCGATCGATCGATCGGGGGTTTTAGATCGAGAAGGGATCAAGAACATGCAAGAAGGGGAAGTGGACCAAAAAGATGGAAGCTATCTATATCAGTGATGAAGAACCGAAGAAAAGGCCGGCCGGCGCTCTATCTACGGTGGAGAGGAGAGGAGGGGAGAGGAGGGAGCAGCTAGCCAATGCATGCACTAAGCCCACCCTGGCCTCCGGGCTACAGCTCTAGGGGGTGCAACGCCCTCTCTTTTATAGAGCAAGGCTGATGAGATGGGCTGGTTGGTTGGTTGAGTACTGTGGGGGGTGATTTGACCTCACATAAACTATCTTCCTCGAACTTTCTTGTGTGTTACTAATGGCAGGTTTGCACGTGTTAATTTTACTATGGCATGGGGGTTAGAAACTTTTGCTGATGCCCCTCTAGAGGATGGTAATTACTGATTCCTTGCCTCTCCCGGAGCATTATTCGGAGAATGGCATTCATGGATAGATGTCTTATTCTTGGCAAAAGAACCTCGTCTTTTTTTATTTTTGCGGGGAAAAGAACCTCATCTTTATATATTTCTAGCTTTAGGTTGCGTTCGGTATGGGAGGTGGTTCCAACTATTCTAGCATATTCCTTGATTTTCATAAAAGATTTTGAAATTAGTACAGCATAGTGCAATCCGCTGACCAAGCCTTATAGTACATGCACATTGTACTCATTTATCTGTGTCTTGGGGTTTTAAGATGTTTTTTGATTGAGACTTGTCCCTTGGCCAAGTGAGGGTAAAAATGCGATCATGAAAATGTATTATTTTCATGGAATACATTTAAGTATCTATACATCATGACATTAGATTTCGACTACGATGTTACCAAATTATGTCTTTCGGTTATATGGCCTAAAAAAATCATGCCTTTCAATTATGCTATGTCACTGGCTGCTTCTTAATGGCTCATTCACATTGGAGGATTTTTGGAATGCTCCTAAGGCATTTTCATCCATGTTTACTAGCATTCGTTTTGACAGGATTCTTAGCGTTAAGCTACTTGCACCATTTCTGTGATTTGAAATGATGTAGACCGAATGAGCCCTAACCGTTTCATTTTGCCGCTTGACATAATTTTTTCTATCCAACCGATCACAATTATTTGAAAACGTCATAGATAGATGGGAGAAAATTTATCCTGCCACTCACTATGCAGTGCCGGCCGGTAACTAATTAAATAGTGTGCGTTTACCTTGTTCGATTTGTTTTGGCCGAGGACCGAAAAAAGAAGTGCAAGTGGGGGTGGTTCTGCAAAACAAAAATGCCGACATGCGCAGTTCAGGCAACCGCTGCCACCTGATACTCCCTCCGATTCTTTTTTGTCTGCGCCTAAGAGCAGACCCGGATACCAAGAGGTGGGCTCGCTGCATGCTATATGGACAGAAATGCCCCTCTGCGCATGCGCGTGGACGGGAGGAGCAAAGCAGCAATAAATGCCCCCATGCAACCCATTGGCTCTCCGCCCGCATTCTCCTCTCTCTGCATGTTGCATGGCTGTCTATCTCTCTCTCTCACACGACGTGCATGCCGTGACGCTGGCCTATGAGCAGCTCGAGTAGAGATAGCAATCTTCTCTTCAAAAGAGATGTGATCTTCCACAGATTTTTGCTTCGATCAAAACTGTATAGCGCCAACAATTCAAGTTCCCTCCTAAACGCAACACAGCGCAATTTCACTTCCCTCCTAAACAAGCAGAGCGCCATGAAGTAGCCTCGAAAATTTGCTTCGAAAATTAGCTTACCGGCCGCCAGCGCCATGGATTTGCAGTTCCCTCCAAAACCAAAAAATCATGTCTATAAATCAAGCTCCATGGAAAGACCAGCCTACACACCTCTCCTTAGTCCGTATGCTTTTCCCTGCATCAGCACGAGCATGCAATGGATCACCTCGACCTCAACTCCGCCATTAACTGGAACGAGGTTGAAGAACACTATGATGGCAATGCTGAAGACATGCATTACGTGTATGTGTTCGAGGAGAGCGATGACGGTATGGATCGAGTTTTTCCCTTTGATCTTATGCCGTTTTATCTTCCCTTCTTGATCTGTTGCCCACGTTTAAATTTCAGAAGACGCTGCTGCGGAGCATGCCCATGGCGACGAACGCGGCGTGCACGACGCCAGTGCCCCAGGCGGAAGCGGAAGCGGAAGCGGTGGTCCGAGCCCTGCTGACCGCGTGCACGGCGCCGATGCCCCAGGCGGAAGCGGAAGCGGTGGTCCGAGCCCTGCGGACGGCGTGCACAGCGCGGACACCCCAGGCGGAAGCGGGGGTAGTGATCCGAGCCGTGCCGACGTCGGCGGCGGCCGCGAGAACAGGTTTTCCTTGCCGCGGCCCAGGCAGATGGGTGGGACATTCGTTTGGTGTGTCAGCCACCGAACTCCCCTGATCTTAACATACTTGATCTAGGATTTTTTGCTGCCTTACAATCATTGTTTCAGAAGTTATTTCCAGGTTCCATTGATGACATAGTCCGCAAGGTGTGCCAGGCATTTGAGCAATACCCAGCTGAGAGGTGCAACAGGATATTCCTAACTCTACAATCTTGCATGCATGAGGTTTTGAAGGATAAGGGAGGCCAACACTACAAGGTGCCGCACATGAGGAAGCTAGTCCTTGCAAATGTTGATGCCCTCCCGGTGAAGTTGCCTTGTGATCGATCCATCGTGGACGAGGCGAGGGCTTTTTTACTTCAGTAGTGTGGTGGTATTTTGTTGGAATCAGATCGTGATCCATCTTTTGAGTGCTATTGTTGATGTAAGAAGATTATGTAATCGATCTTTGAGTGCTATTGCTGGTGTAATCAGATCATGTAATCCATCTTTTGAGTGCTATCATGATGCAATCCAAACGTTGCAAAAAAAGAAGAACCATATTTCAAACAGAACAACTAGCTAGCAGCACAAGTCAAACTAAACAACTGGTTTCACATAGGTTCACGTCAAACAAAACAACTAGTAGCAAGATCATCACATTGGTTTAACTAGCAAAAGTTCTTCAACTCCAGCATCGCACCTGCATGGTTCAAACTCCACAAGGCTGATCATCACTCATGAAACTCCGGCAGATAAATTTTCATGAACTCACGCTTTGTCGTTTCATCCGGCACAGAGAATTGCTCCGGCAGTGGCAAAGATTCTTCCTCCGGCATCGAGTCAGGAGCATAAAGAAGAGATGCATCAATGTCGCCGGCCTCTTCACCCTCCGTGCCGGCCAGCAACTCCTCGTCGTTTGTCGTCTCGTTGCTGCTTTCTGGGTCAACTTTGCCATTGTCCACGAGCGCGCGCACCTGGTCATTGCCGTCTCCTGCCACTATCTTGACAGCGCCGTGCATGCTGCCGTCGCGCTCCAGTGCGTGCACGCTGCTGTCCGCGAGCAAGCGTCCCCATCGCGCACACCTTGGGCAGTTTGTGTTGCCTCGTCCATGGCCACCACACAAAGAGCACGGGAAGCCAGGTGTGTAACCGTAACAGTTGGACATTAGATCTGCATCATCGGAAAATGATGCACTCACCTCCGGCGAGTGTACTTTTGCATGCATGCCGCCGTCGCTGGCGACGCCCTCCGCAAACGCATGGCCTCCCGAAGCGAGCGCCGGGAGGACGACGTCGCCCTCCTCCGCGACCACCTGGACGCCGAGCGGGTGGATGACGCCGTCCGCGAGCGCGCCATCGCCCTGTTGGATGCCGCCCTCCACGGACACGCCGTGAGGCAGCTGGAGGACGCCGTCCGCGAGCGCGCAATCGCCCTGCAGGACGCCGCCCTCCACGGACACGCCGTGAGGCAGCTGGAGGACGCCGTCCGCGAGTGCGCAATCGCCCTGCAGGACGCCGCCTGTCGTGGGAACGCCGTCGCGCGAGTGGTCGACGCCGTTCTTGAGTGCTCCGTCGTCCTTCTGGACGGCGCCCTCTGCGGGAATGCCGTAGTGCGGATGGACGTCGCCGTCGTCAAGCGCGCCGTCGTCCGGGGCGCTGCAGTCAGCGAGCATGCTGTCCTCCGCAAGCAGGCTATCAAGCACGAGCTCGCTGTCTTCTACAGGCTGGCTGTCTTCCCACAAGTAGCTAGACTCCATGAGGTTGAGCTTGAGAGGGAGGAGAAGAAGATGGAGTAGAAGGCGAGTAGATAGGAGGAGGACGCATGCGTGCTGGCGTACTGTACGAGGAAGAAAAAGGAGGCGAGCTAGCTGGCTTAATTAATGCGAGAGAAGGAGGCGAAGCGAAGGAGGAGGGGTATTCCAGGAAAGAATGGGTGGCTGAACCGAACGCGCAGACCATTTCGGATTTTTCGGGAAAAAGTTATACGCAGACTAAATGGGATCGGAGGGAGTATAATCTAAGCACTATAGATTACGAAAACAACTGCGCGTCAATGACGGTGGGCCCCGAAGGTCTCCACGGGCAACGCGGCCCCGCAACGTACGGCGGTACGCCCGAAGCCAGCCAGCCCACCCATAAAGATCTGCCAGACCGCCTTTCTGGCCGGTCTCGTCCTCGCTGCCGTAGCGCGAATCCGGAGGACAGGGACCAACTGCGGCTAGGCCGGCAACCGCCAGACCGGCGCCGGCCGTCCGATGGGCCGCATCGGCCCGTCCGTCCGATCCGGAAAGCGACGCCGCCGACCTGCTTTCTTCTTCTTCTTTCCTCCACCCGCCTTTCCTTTCCTGCCCGGGCCGTATAGGCGATAGACAGGGTCCACCGGCCGGCGCCCGCGCCAGCGCCGCCCGGGGATTTCCGTAGCCTTGCCTGCCTGGCTGGCTGGCTGGCCTTTTTCAAAGACCCGCGTGCGTGCGTCAATGGGCGAGCGACTTTTCGCC